AGATATTTTGCATCAAGCCGTTGTTATTGAAATGGGAACAGGAGTTACTGAATGCATTAAACCCCAAGTACGAAACATTGGTCATTCAAAACGTGGTTCCATTTAGTTTTCTCAATCAAAACAAAAATGGTTTGACTTTTGTAACAAAATTGTGCTTTAAAATAATTTAAAGTGATGCCAAAAGCGTGCTATTTGTATGCTACCAACTCAAGTTGGCAGCTTAAAACAAACCAATTAAGTCTACCTCGGTCTGAGGCAAGCTTTTTAGGCCAAACAATGCGTTCCCGGATTACTTAGCCAGAGGAAAAGTTAGACAATCTGCCAGGAACTTAAAAACACAAGGACAGTCATGTACTTCCTGGCAGACATCATCTGAGTTTTGTTTCCGACAATTGCTGTTTTCAATCTACATTTATCATTATAAACTACCGAGACGTCGTTTTTCTTCAAATTGACTGTTTTTTTTTTTCATCTCAATTTCCTTTTGGTAGCTTTCAAGCTTCCAATGTTACGTTTTCGTTGCATGCCACGTGGTGGCAAGCGCTGCTTCGCTTCTCTGTAATTAACATTATATACATGTTTTAGTAAAAAATTAATACTATGTAATTGTCTTGATAATTAGATTGCACATCTGCATGTTCTTTTGATTTTTTTTCGGTTCGTAGATGATTTCGAATGTTTCATTTTGTTTTCAAGTTTTCGTTTTATGATGTTGTGAATCATTTTTCCTCTTGCTTTGGTAGCTATCCAGAAGTTGATAGATTTTGTCATTGTACAAAAACAATCCTGATACTTTCTCTAGCTATCTGTTGGGCAGAGCGCGAAAAAATTGTAGCTACTTCAAGCAGGTTTGTTGGCCTCAGCCTTTTTAATTTTTCGCCAAAAAACTGGCACGCTAGGCCGCATTCCCAGAAAAAAATTAAGAAAACTAGCACTGGACTCTTATACCAATCCAGGAAGTCCAGGGGAATCTTTGCAAGACTTTTACATAGTTTTTCCGCCTGCAGGCGTGGCTCCAGGAATGGCTCCATGTTTGGACTTCCATCGATAGGCAAGCACAAATTCTCTCGCCTTACGCTTTCAACTAACGCAAGAAAGATCAAAAATCTATTGATTCTATAACAGGGGCGTTATTTGGAAAATTGAGAAGATGCCTTAAGGAAAAAGACTGAAATATTTTGAACTTTACGAATCGAATTATTATTCTGGACTCAAAAGTTAGTGATTTAAATGATATTTGTTGTCGAAAGATTATTCAAAAACTACCCAAGTTACATCGCAAATTTGTTCGGGTTATCTTGGATTTCATCAGCAATATTTGGAGACTGGACGTAATGAGTAAGACTTGAAGTCGTACCAACACTTGAATGCCGTGAGTAGGATCCAGAGAACTGCTGTAATAGGAAAGTTTGCTTACCTTCTAACAAAATAACAGGGTTAATGGCCGACAATTTCTGAAAATGTGTTGACCCAGTAGATAAGGAATTGGTCTATATAGAGGCTAGTCTGGCAAAGAAATATTCGTAGCTTTTTGATTGCTGTACGTGTTTGGGTATGTTTACAGCTACTTATAATTGTGTTCGGCAAAAGCTAATTGAGAATCGAAATAGCGATTTTCTTAGACATAATCTAGTCGATACTAAAGATGCTAAGTGTTTGCGAGGCAAAACCCTTTACTCATCAATTCAAGAACTATTCTGGAGTGCGGTCTGTATTTAGACAACCGAGTATTCAGACACTGTATTAACCAATCAGAATTGAGACAAGGAAGAAAAGAATTTGATATCTTCCTTTGTCTCGATGAGTCCTTGATGTTGGCTTATGTCGTGAGAAGAAGTGAAATATCAGATTTTTACTTAACCACCGTCCACTAGGGTTGAAATTTATTGTATTTTTTTGGTTAATTGGCTTAATTCTTGAACGACCTGAAAACATCGAATGGCAAACTTTGAACAGCGAGGTTTCAAACATCAGAGTTTATTAATTTGAATGCAGCGAGAGAAGCGAAACAACAAAAACGACTGTTTTGAGACAATAGCTAACTTCCATTTGATAGTTCAAAATAGTGAAGCAACAAGAGTTACAGCTAACACTAAAATCTACTTAGACTATGCGCTTCGACCAGTAAGTTGATGTTCACACTCTGAAGTGAAATATTGAGAACATTGGGCTCTTCTGACTGTCATTTTAATTAGGCCATTTTTTTGAAGAAACCCGTTGAGAATTGCATGCAGATACATTATGTAGAGGCTTTAGAAAAATCAAATAAAGTTTCAAAATTTCAATTTTTGTTACAACAAAAGCTGCACAACGTGCCATTATCCTATTCCTCCTGCTGTTGAATTTCGGAGTATTTTCATACTGTGTTTGATAGTTTTGCACCTTTACGTTGTTGTGTTTTAAATAAAGATGTTGAACCGATGCTTATGTGAAATAATTGTGTAATTATCGAATTTTTTTTAGCAGTTCTTAAATACAATCAATTTTTTTAATAATATTTTGAAATCCAAAAACTTGAAATAAAATGACAAAAAGGTAAGGGATTGCAATATAAAAATTTTCGTTAACCTAATCTCAAAATGTCGAGATAGCAAAAAACTGTTTCAAATTTTCAATAAAATTGGTGGAAAACAAAAAGAGCAAGAAACTGACTTGGCACCTGATTAACTTGGTAATTTTTCTGTTTAAACAGACCTGAGTTATATCCGACTGAAGTAGTGGTGCTTGAGCAATTCATTGGTACTTTAAAAACACAAAAACAAGCTGATGAAACGAAAACAAAAAATAAAAAAGAATGATAAAACAAAACAAAATAATTGATGTGATCAAACTGTGTGCTCCAGTCATCAACCCACTCCTAGTGCAACGTTTTACCAAGAGCATTGAAAAGGGTGTGCATTGCTCAAAATTTTCTAAGAAGCATTCATACAATAAATAAAGGAATCACCTTTAGTTCCACTGCATTTGGACAGACCTATAACTGCAAGAAAATTAGAGCAAACTTGAAAGGGTAATTATTAATTTTAGCTGCTGTCAAAACTACGAAAATAAAAAACTTGGTTTCAATAAATGAATAAAAAACGCATAATTTGTTGGTCGATAACAATATGATTTTCAAAGACCTCAATTCCATTACTGAAAATGAATTCAATTCTTTTTATCAAAAACGTTTGTGAGTTTTATGTTAGCGATAATGAAAGAATAAGTTCTGTTTCTTATTATCGGGTTTTTTCTAAGTGTTGTTTATTTTGTTTATTGTAGTTTAGGTGACCTGGAGGAATGCTACTTGAAGGGTTGATTAACCCGTATATCATTCTTGGTGTACTGTTTCTAAAAAACGGATAGATGAAAATATAATTTCAAATGTCGACATCAAAATTCAAATTGAATTCAATTTATTACTCTAATAAAGGTCCTAATTGCGTTGACTTCATTGCAGTATAAGTAAATTGGAAAAATTTCCTAATTTCGAGAAAAGTTTTGCTTCTCAGTTTTCTACCGAATGAGTTGTTGGTATCGGATAACTTCTATTTTTTAAATCTTAAATTCAATCTTGCTAACTGCAGTTCGAAATTACTATGGGCTTCCGCAAAAACCCATATCTCTTGTTGCCCTAGTGTTTTGTCTACGATCTCTTTTAAACTCCAACTATCGAATTTTCCAATCCTTTTAAATATAGCTTGATTTGTGATTCGACTATGCTTCGCTTGTAATCAACTTATGTCTCGACTGTAATCATGGCTCGACTGTAATTTTGGTTAAAAAATTTAAAAGTGTCGCTGCTACACGAGTCTTTTGAAGAGAAATTAATAGTTCCAAGTTTGCATAGATTTCTTTTATTTTAAATTAGTTTGAAAAATCAACCTGAAGCAAAAAACTCTTAAAAATTAAATTTCTTCTTACAGGAAATTTTAGTTACCTTGAAAACTATCAATTTGAAAGGCATCGTGTTCTCGATTGAATGACGCTTATGAAATAATTGACGGAGTTTTTTTCAGGAGAAGTTTCTATAATCACTTTTAAAATGAAAATTGAAAAGTGTTTTTGACGACTTTTTAGGGGTTGATCTTCTTTAGTATAGATACGATAGGTGGAGGGGGATGGTTAAAAAAGTTCTATCTCTCAAGTTTATTCTATTTGGTCCGCCATTCTTCCTATCTTTTTCATTCTCCTTTTTCCATCGGGGTCTTGTGCTGACTGTGAGAACTGTGAAAAACCTTTACTACTACTGCTACTGCTGCAACACCCCCTCTCCACAAAGTGGTCCAGGGTGGCTCTGATGGCGGTGGAGTGGCAGTATTCGTTCACTGGGGACCATGGCTCAGATGAGAGATGACTCACACCGAACTGAACAAGTTCAGCCTAAATAGAGAATCGGATGGATTAATTTTCTGCTCCTTTATCAACCAACCTAACACCCCCACCCCGCACTTCTCTCGTCGCACAAGCCCGTGTACGCACCATGGCCTGTGCTAAAATTTTGATCTTTTTGTGCGCAATCATTTCGTGCACAAACCTTAACTGACTATTTTGAATCATACTATTTATCCTTGCGTATCTTTGTAAAAATAAGTTAAAATCAATTGTTGTTTTGGTAGATTTCCGAAAATAAGTGTTGCCAATCTAGTGACGAAGATTTTTGGCAAATACTGACGAGATATTTGATAGATTTTTTATGATTATCCCTCTCTCTTCTAACCCCCTGCCCCGCCATAGAAACTCTCATTTCATCCGATGCCGATTGAAGTACTGTAGCAGTCCAAGAAAGAATAGAAGCATAACTGCTCTTGCCTCATACTGGGAGGAAAGAGTCCCATTTCCGCAGAAAGACGAGACAGCTCGAGTGAATGGGTATTTGCCGAACATGCGATTCAAGTTGCCCCTGGCGTGCACGTGACCCACTTTCCTGAGGGGTTCCCTCGAGTAGGAGCTGAAGTCCAGCAGTCCATACTCTCTCATATCGGTCTCCGTCAGACCCAGCGTGGCTGCGTGGAAACATCATGAAGGAGACTAAAGTTAGTTCCGCGTGACCGCGTGAAATGACACCAAGAGTAACAAAAGGGTAGACACATATGTCTTTCAAACCAAACACCAACTCCCTTCTAACAAGACTAGAAACAAGTTTCGATCCTGAAACAAGTTTTTGGAAGTTCCTTTTTGGAATTTTATCTGACGACTGAAGACGCTTTAAAATGATATATCACCCGACTTTATCTTACGCTTATATCCAGGCGCGGATCTAGGATTTTCTCGAGAGGGGGGGGGGCAGATTTTCGAGAAATTTCGAAAAATTTGTCGAACATTTATTTTAGGTGGACCAAATTGATTTTCTGAGTTCTCCTAAATCACTATAAATAAGACCCCATTTTGACCAACTTTTGTGCGCCGCAGGCAAACTTTTGAAAAAACAGGCCAAAAAAGGCGTTTTTAGGCACTTTTTTTGAAAATTCTGACAAAAAATCGCGTTTTTTCGGTGAGCGCTCCCCCCTCAAAATTAGTATATTTTGGCGGCAAAGGCGCCTTTAAAAAATTTTTAGGGTCAGTCAGCCAAAAAGGGATATTTCAAAATAGTACAAAGGGGGACCCCCGCCCCTGCCCCTAAATTTCATTAGTAAAAGTACAGTAAAAAACCAGTAAGAATCTGCCGTTCGTTCCAAACGTTTTTTTTGTAAACATGAAAGTTTATGCTTTTCGGCAGAGAAACTGAATTTCGTTTTTTGGCAGACTCACATTTTTTTTTCGCCAAACTGACCTTTCGGCACGTTGATACGCCACCATAAATTCAATTTCCCAGTTTCTTATGCCATTATATTATACTATGAGCTTGTTGTTGTCATGGACAAACCTGGTTAGAACTTCCTCGTTTATCCTATGTTTGAGGAGCCTCTGAGAGTAACGTCGCAACTTAAGTTAAGCTGAGAATAAAATAAAATCTAGTTTAAAATAAAAGTATAAAATAAAACGGAGCGCTTCAATTGCGCCATGTAATGAATTTCGCATTAAATCAAGCAGTAAAAAATAAGCATAATGTCATTTGAAAATCCATCTCTTCCTACTAAGAAAACTTTAAATTTGCAACTAATTTTAGACAGTTACTGAAACGACTTATCTCTTATTAGGCTTAACTTGCAAACAGCGTTAGACTAATTTAGTTCCGTCTCTTTTTCAGTCAGCTAGCTGCCGTTGGATTGAAAGACAACAAAACTGCTCGTATCAGGATTTGTTGTAAACAGCCCTGAATGTTCCCACTGCCCATTAAAGTTTATGGAGCAGTAATATCGTTAAAAAATTAAAAGTAATTAAACAAAATGAAATTTTTTTTTCAAAAATTTGAATTTATTTCATAAAAATCATCCCCATACACGCCATAAAAAGTACAAAACAAGTATTGTAACAAATCAATTATGGCAAATAAGCTTCGTTAAACCAATTTGGAACGATTTCTAAGACGGATTAACTCTCCGCTCACGCGTTAATAGCGCGAAATATATTGCGCGTTAATTGTCCCAAATTGACCAAAATGGCAATCTTTAAACCCTCATAACTTTACGAAAAATAATCACAGGTGAACTATTTTTTCAAATTCGAGCTCAAGACAACAATACCTTTCGAATGATATAAAAAAATTCCGTCAGAAATGGCTAGTTAAAAAGTCGAAATTTGTCTGAAGAAAAAAAAACCCACCCCGAGCACAAATATTCCGTTACTTTCGTATGGAAAGTCGGAACAACAAGACAATGAGCTTGAAATAAACAGGAGTGGGATTAAGGAAGCGTTTTTTTAAAATTAAAGTAAACAACACAGATAGATACGCCTTTTCTGAAACAAAAACTTTAATTGTATTAATAAGTTTCATTTTTTCTTTGAGTCCCGATTTAATCAGTGGATAATTTTAGATCAGTCAAAAATGAAAAATTTCTTCGGATACAGTTAAAGCTTTGTTTTTTAACGTATCAATGAATGAAGTGCGGACATTTATATAAATTGAGATGGCTTTTTAAATTTTTTCCAGGAAAAAGATTTTACATTTTGATCACGTTTGAATTTAGAAAAAAAAACAACATATTGGTTCAAAAAGAGTTTTTGTAACAATCGCAATCGCAACTTATTTTACACTTAAATTTTAGAACTGAACAAGATTTTTTCAGGTCTGAAATAGAAAATTTACTCAGTATGGGAAAATGTATGGTATAGTATTCTGCTAAGAATTCCATAAAAATCAATAAGAAAATGTTGGAAATTTTTTGATATCATAGCCCCTCCCCACGCGCAACTTCATATTCGAGCTCAAAGCAATTTTTTAGTTTTTCAGAAAGTGGGCATTCAGTCAAAAATTATTAATTAAAAAGTCAAAATTTGTCTGAAAAAAAAAACATACCGAGTTCGAATCATTTATCATTTGTTCAATAATTGAATCGATAAAATAATTGACACAATAATTGAATCGATAAAATAAGAGCATCGATGCTCGCGCCTCGAAGCTTTTTGTAAGCCGAAAAGATCAATGCAAAGCCAAAAATTGTTGGTATTATCGAAGACCCCCATCCACTAAGCCACCAGTTGTTTTGTTTCAGCTTAACTCGAACTCAACGCCGACAAGTGTGTCTGGTTTAGAGACAGGCGACCAGCTGTGCCAGGTGGGTGCTCTACAAATAGTGTTCGATTGGTGTTAGGACAGAGAACCGATAAAACAGTATGCCGAAAACGTTCCCAGAAGTTCATGTCAGTGAAAAATGAAAAATAGTAATACAATGATTTACAATGGATGTTCGAGTTAAAAATTGTCAGAACGGCATTTTTTAACTCATAGATGACAGTTTTTATGACATATTTCAACAAAAATTTTCGAAGAGGTTATGCATTTTAGATCCAGAAAGCCAGTCAAAAATACCTTGAAGTCGTTTCGTGTTGGCTTCAGTTGACTTTAAATTCTAGCGACAGCTGCATCTAAGAAATTAAAACCATTTGTTCTAAATTTCAGTGTGAACCAAATTAATTTCGCATCATTCGAAAAATTTAATCAAAATAATTGTAGAACAGATTTTTTTTTGCTGTGAACATATTATTTATTGTAATTGGATCATTTAGATTGATGGGGAGATAGTTGAAACAAAGAGTCAAGTGACTCGACTCCTGCGTGACTCAACTTCTGCTAGACATTTGGAAATTCTGCTGGCCAGACCCAACAAGGTCTGTATGTTTGGTGTTACCTTCTAGCCGGTGAAAGACCACTGAAGTTTCTGCAAAAACTTGCTTTCAGACATATTTAACAGCAGTGTATTAGCAACTTCTTACCACTGAGTGTGGATTTTTTCACAGAAGAATTATGACACTACAAGATGCTCTATCAATTTTAAATCAATAATAACTAATCATAATTCATTATTCAAAATTCTGAGAGTAAATGTGACATTCCAATCTGAGCGTCGGAAAATTTAAAGGCTTCTGATTGGCTGGAATTGTTCTGCGATTTGGTTCTTCTGCTAAGAGAGTAGCTCCCTTCAGTGTCTTAAGGCAATGGGCTGGAAAGGAGACAATTCTAGGACAGAGAGAGACTGAAATTAGGTCCTAATTGGCAATCATGTCTCAAAACTGTCTACCCTTCAACGAAAAAGAGACCAGATCTCAATTGAAAGAGCTGAAGATAGTTAAGAAGAAAAGAGTTTTGGTTCATGCAGTTTGTTTAAAAAGTATTTCTTTTCACGTCCAAAAAAATGAAGCCACACGAAGTTAAAATATTTCCTAGAGAGCCGTTTTGAGCTTTTCATGTTTTTTTTTGTATAATATAGGATCCAGGGGCGAAACTAGGAGTTTCTCGAGTAAGGAAATTTTCAAAAATCTAAGGGGTTTTTGAAAAAAATGTTGACCTCTTTTTCAGGTCGACTAAGAGCTCTCCCAAATCCCCATTTTGACGAAACGATCTGTGCAGCAAACGTTTGTTTAAAAACATGTCGAAAAAAGCGTTTAACGTTTTTAGGCGCTCAAAAAAGGCATTTTGAGGCGCTCGCTCCCCCCTCCCTCAAAAAATAGTATGTATTGGCGCCAGGGGCGCTTTTGAAAATTTACCGGTTAGTCAGCTAAAAATGGATGTCGTGAAGTAAAACCAAAGGGGGGCCCTTTGGGTGGTGAAGGCGTCAAATCCTCGAGGAGGAGGCGTATGACACCCCTGCCCTAATCCGATAGTATAAATATATTAAATGAAAACGGCTGTATTAAGAAGAATTCGCACTGATCTGCTCTGCGACACCAACTTGGGTTAGTTTCTGATTGAGAATAAGACAATTTCCAGAGAATATTCGAACCCAGAATACTTTCTCTGAGCAATGAAATAATAGCGATATCACATTCAAGCCGTCTACCTGATGCGAGCAGTCTTCTTGTTGAAACTTCTTGAGCAAAGCTAGTTAAATTGAGAACTAACGAGCTACTTGTTGTGTTAAATTTTTTCCTAATTTAGAGAGTGACAATAGAAGAACCACCCTTAGATGAGCGGCTCTCCTCAGACAACACAGTGACGTCATCGCAATCTCCAATGAAAGTTAACAGCAGAAACAGACAAACAGCCGAAGAAACTCTCTATCTAAACTTAGCCGAAATAAACCAACTCATGCGAATAGCACAAAAAGTTGTGACCATAGCCTTAAAAAACGCAAACTTTTTTTCAAATTAGTGTCATTTTCTTCAATAGCCATAATTAAATAAGCAAACTGGACAAAAAATGAAAACTTATTGTTTAAATGACGACAGACTCTTATTTATTGAATTTGTCTGGAAAACACAAAAATTTTAAACAAAGGTGTTTGTGCCGAGAAAACCGAGGGATTTTTTGAATATTTTTCAATTGAGTTGGAAGGCTTTAATATGATTTTTTATTCCATCTCATTTAATTTTTTCTGCAAAACTTGGTTCTAATTGCAAAATAGCAGGCAAAAACGAACTCATTTTTGTTCCGACTTTCGATAGGAAATAAACGGAATATTTGTGCTCGGGGTGGGTTTTTTTTTCTTCAGACAAATTTTGACTTTTTAACTAGCCAATTTTGCCGGAATTTTTAAATATTATTCGAAAGGTATTGTTGTCCTGAGCTCAAATTTGAAAAAATATTTCACCTGTGATTTTTTTTCGTAAAGTTACGGGGGTTTAAACATTGGCATTTTGGCCAATTTGAGGCAATTAACGCGCGATATATTTCGCGCTATTAACGCGTAAGCGGAGAGTTAATCCGTCTTAGAAATCTTTCCAAATTGGTATAAGAAGCTTATTTGCCATAATTGGTTTGTTACAAGGAACGAAATCTATCCTTTTGTACTTTGTATGGCGTTTGGGGTGATGATTTTCATAAAAAGTTTCACACTTTAGAAAAAAAAAATTTGTTTTGTTTTATTTCATTGAATTTTTTAATGTTATTACTGCTCCATAAACCTTAAAAGGCAGTCGGAACATTCAAGGCTTCGCCCTGATACTCGTTTTTTCTTTCAAATTAGTGTTGGTTTTTCTGCGTGGTGTGATAAAAGGAACAGACAAAAACTACAACTTAGACATAGTCGACAGTCATAGTAAAAGAGTCAAACTGGACATCAGTTTTTAAAGAAAAATGACTAGAAAAACAATCATGAAAAACAATCATGAAAAGCATCTTTCAAACTCCAAAAACTAATTATACTCGAGTAAAACTAAAATTAAGCATAAACAAAACTGCTTGTATCAGGGCGAAGCCCTGAATGTTCCGACTGCCTTTTAAGGTTTATTGAGCAGCAGTAATACATTAAAAAAGTTAAATGAAATAAAATATAATGAAAATTTTTTCTAAAATTTGAAATTTTTTATGAAACTCATCTCCCCAAACGCCACATAAAGTACAAAAAGATAATTTTCGTTCCTTGTAACAAATCAATTATGGCAAATAAGCTTCGTTCAACTAATTTGGAACGATTTATAGGACGGATTAAATCTCCGCTTACGCGTTAATAGCGCGAATTATATTGCGCGTTAATTGTCCCAAATTGGTCAAAATGGCCAAAATTGCAATCTTTAAACCCTCATAACTTTACGAAAAATGATCACAGGTGAAATATCTTTTCAAATTTAAGCTCAGGACAACAATATTTTTTGAATGATATTAAAAATTTCCGTCAAAAATTGCTAGTTAAAAAGTCGAAATTTGTCTGAAGAAAAAAAAACCCACCCCGAGCACAAATATTCCGTTACTTTCGTATCGAAAGTCGGAACAATAAGCATTCGTAAGCAGCTCAAGTTAACCAAAAATAAGTATGCTTGATCGCTTTACTCGCTCGAAATTAGACGAAAAGCAAAAACTCCAAACCAGTTTTTCTCTAGCCGCAAAAAAAATTGTTTTTTTTTAAAGGTTGTTTGAGTCACGAGTGAAACAATTTTAAGAAGAGGTATCACTCTACCCAATCCGACGATTAATTGTGGTACCTGATTTTGCGTGGAAAACAAAAACAAAAAAAAGAGAAAAAAGCACAACCGATGACAAAAATCTTCAACATTTTTCAGTTGGATGGAACAATAAGAACTCTTTTGTTGGTGGTTAAAAGAGGTCGAGCCAAAAATGCAGGTCATTGTGAGAGAACATCTAAAAAATCTGTATATTAAAAAAATTGGCGAAAGATCAGTCTGCCAAAAGGCAACAAACAAGGTTAAATATTTGCGGCCTGACCTGGTTGAACCTTGTCTATTTTTGGCAGTAAATTTGCTGCGCTGCAAGTGAAATAAAAAAATGAGTTTTGTCTCACTATAATTGAGTCTTGTCTCTAATTTGCTGAGATGAACAAATTTCATTAGTAAAAGTACAGTAAAAAACCAGTAAGAATCTGCCGTTCGTTCCAAACGTTTTTTTTGTAAACATGAAAGTTTATGCTTTTCGGCAGAGAAACTGAATTTCGTTTTTTGGCAGACTCACATTTTTTTTCGCCAAACTGACCTTTCGGCACGTTGATACGCCACCATAAATTCAATTTCCCAGTTTCTTATGCCATTATATTATACTATGAGCTTGTTGTTGTCATGGACAAACCTGGTTAGAACTTCCTCGTTTATCCTATGTTTGAGGAGCCTCTGAGAGTAACGTCGCAACTTAAGTTAAGCTGAGAATAAAATAAAACCTAGTTTAAAATAAAAGTATAAAATAAAACGGAGCGCTTCAATTGCGCCATGTAATGAATTTCGCATTAAATCAAGCAGTAAAAAATAAGCATAATGTCATTTGAAAATCCATCTCTTCCTACTAAGAAAACTTTAAATTTGCAACTAATTTTAGACAGTTACTGAAACGACTTATGTCTTATTAGGCTTAACTTGCAAACAGCGTTAGACTAATTTAGTTCCGTCTCTTTTTCAGTCAGCTAGCTGCCGTTGGATTGAGAGACAGCAAGACTCTGAGCTTGAAATAAACAGGCGTGGGATTAAGAAAGCGATTTTTAAATTAAAGCAAACAACACAGATAGATACGCCTTTTCTGAAACAAAAAATTTAATTGTATTAAGAAGTTTCATTTTTTCTTTGAGTCCCGATTTAATCAGTGGATAATTTTAGATCAGTCAAAAATGAAAAATTTCTTCGGATACAGTTAAAGCTTTGTTTTTTAACGTATCAATGAATGAAGTGCGGACATTTATATAAATTGAGATGGCTTTTTAAATTTTTTCCAGGAAAAAGATTTTACATTTTGATCACGTTTGAATTTAGAAAAAAAAACAACATATTGGTTCAAAAAAGAGTTTTTTTAACAATCGCAATCGCAACTTATTTAGGACCTAAATTTTAGAACTGAACAAGATTTTTTCAGGTCTGAAATAGAAAATTTACTCAGTATGGGAAAATGTATGGTATAGTATTCTGCTCAGAACGGCTCCATAAAAATCAATAAGAAAATGTTGGAAATTTTTTGATATCCTAGCCCCTCCCCACGCGCAACTTCATATTCGAGCTCAAAGCAATTTTTTAGTCTTTCAGAAAGTGGGCATTCAGTCAAAAATTATTAATTAAAAAGTCAAAATTTGTCTGAAAAAAAAACATACCGAGTTCGAATCATTTATCATTTGTTCAATAATTGAATCGATAAAATAATTGACACAATAATTGAATCGATAAAATAACTGCATCGATGCTCGCGCCTCGAAGCTTTTTGGAAGCCGAAAAGATCAATGCAAAGCCAAAAATTGTTGGTATTATCGAAGACCCCCATCCACTAAGCCACCAGTTGTTTTGTTTCAGCTTAACTCGAACTCAACGCCGACAAGTGTGTCTGGTTTAGAGGCAGGCGACCAGCTGTGCCAGGTAGGTGCTCTTCAAGTAGTGTTTGATTGGTGTTGAGGCAGAAAACCGATAAAACCGTATGCCGAAAACGTTCACAGTAGTTCATATCAGTGAAAAATGAAAAATAGTAATACAATGATTTACAATGGATGTTTCTATGAGTTAAAAACTGGCGGAATTTTCATTTATTAGAACTGTGGAATCAAGTTTTATAATCTTTGAACAATTTAAGTTTTTTTTCGTACTTGGATTTAGTAATTGGATTCATTTTTTGGGTAGATCCGGGACATCTTGTTCTTTCTAAAAAATTTTATAGCTTATTTCAGCAACATCTTTCAAAGAAAATAAGCATTTTAGATCGTCTGTTCCAGAAAACCTGTCAAAAACGTTTTGTGTTGGCTTCACTTGACCTTTGGATTCACTAGTGACAACTGCATCTAAAAAATTAAACCATTTTCATTCGTAAAATTCAATGGCGAACCAAAATTATGTATCAGGATCCGGGAAGTGTTTTCAAATAAATTATAGCACCTACTTTTTTTGCTGTGAACATATTATTTATTGTAATTGGATCATTTAGATTGATGGGGAGATCGTTGAAACAAAGAGTCAAGTGACTCGACTCCTGCGTGACTCATCTTCTGCGAGACATTTGGAAGTTCTGGTGGCCAGATCCAACAAGGTCTGTATGTTTGGTGTTACCTTCTAGCCGGTGAAAGACAACACTGAAATTTCTGTAAAAACTTGCTTTCATACATATTTAACAGCAGTGTATTAGCAATTTCTTACCACTAACTGTGGATTTTTTCACAGAAGAATTATGACACTACAAGATACTCTATCAATATTAAATCAATAATAACTAATCATAATTCATTATTCAAAATTCTGAGGGTAAATGTGACATTCCAATCTGAGCGTCGGAAAATTTAAAGGCCTCTGATTGGCTGGAATTGTTCTGCGATTTGGTTCTTCTGCTAAGAGAGTAGCTCCCTTCAGTGTCTTAAGGCGATGGGCTGGAAAGGAGACAATTCTAGGGCAGAGAGAGACTGAAATTAGGTCCTAATTGGCAATCATGTCTCAAAACTGTCTACCCTTCAACGAAAAGGAGACCAGATCTCAATTGAAAGAGCTGAAGATAGTTAAGAAGAAAAGAGTTTTGGTTCATGCAATTTGTTTAAAAAATATTTGTTTTCACGTACAAAAAAATGAAGCCACACGAAGTTAAAATATTTCCTAGTGAGCCGTTTTGAGCTTTTCATGCTTTTTTTGTATTATCTAGGATCCAGGGGCGAAACTAGGATTTTCTCGAGTAAGGAGATTTTCAAAAATCTAAGGGGTTTTTGGAAAAAATTTCGACCTCTTTTTCAGGTCGACTAAGAGCTCTCCCAAATCCCCATTTTGACGAAATGATCTGTGCAGCAAACGTTTGTTTAAAAACAAGTCGTATAAAATAAAAACGGCTGTAATAAGAAGAATTCGCACTGATCTGCTCTGCGATACCAACCTGGGTTAGTTTCTGATTGAGAATAAGACAATTTCCAGAGAATATTCGAACCCAGAATACTTTCTCTGTGCAACGAAATACTAGCGATATCACATTCAAGCCGTCTACCTGATGCGAGCAGTCTTCTTGTTGAAACTTCTTGAGCCAAGCTGGTTAAATTGGGAACTAACGAGCTACTTGTTGTGTTAAATTTTTTTCCTAATTTAGAGAGTGACAATAGAAGAACCCCCCTTAGATGAGCGGCTCTCCTCAGACAACACAGTGACGTCATCGCAATCTCCAATGAAAGTTAACAGCAGAAACAGACAAACAGCCGAAGAAACTCTCTATCTAAACTTAGCCGAAATAAACCAACTCATGCGAAATGGAAACTCACAGGCGCTTATGAACTTAGCTGATGATCCGCTATGTTATCAGACCTCCTGCGATTCAACTCGAGATCCGCAAAGGAGTCCATATCGGAGAAATCCGAGCGCGCGACCAATGGGTCCAATGCCGTTATCTCGCCAGGCACTGCAAAATATGCGCCAGAAAAGCTTCACCGATGACCAATGGCATAATTTACCTCTTTCAGATAAGCAAAAACCTCGACTACCTTCAGGTCATCATAAAAATACCCAACAAAATTGCGGGAAATACCTAGATATAGCGCGTCATGGCCACAGTTCACGGCATGGCTCCGTGTATGGACCTATAGACCACTATCAATGTCACAGTGCGCCTCATTCGCCGTTACATCATTCAAATGATCGATCCTCAAATTGGGAAGTCAGGCAGAGTCGAGAAAAAGAAACATCCAAATTGTTTGATGCTTGTACAAACAACCATTTCTATCATGATAACATACCAGAGAAAGGTAATCACGGTCAACGGCATCATCAACATCATCAAAACCAAAAGTACAATTTAATGAAGTCTTCAATTAATGATACTTTCCGACGAACTAGTGAGGTGTCAGCGGAGAAGAAAGATGACCACAGCGGTAGAAAAGAAAAGTGGGGATCTCTGGACTGCTCCACGCGACGCATCCGCAGTTCCACACTCACTGGGTACGAATTGATGTACGGGCGAGGAGGAGGAGGAGGTCCCGAGGAACACCAAGCAGTTAGGGAAAACAGAGTGCGACATGCAAGTGCCAATTATTCCGCTGTTAAGACCTCTGCTGATGCTCATGATAACTGGACTTATGAAGATAAAGGTTTCGTGGTTCCTTTGAAGAGCGGAATCAGGAGAGAGAAAACTCCTGACCGGGAAGGCCCCAGGGCGTCTTTCAGTGAGGGTCGAAAGGGAGAGGGGGAGAAGGAAGGTGGGTTGGATCGGGGTCGATTGACAGACGAGGGACAGAAAAAGAAAATTATGAGCAACTATTTGGTCATAAGAGCTTTACTCTCGACAACCGAGGGAAATATATCCGAAGGAGCTTCCCACCCTCTCTTGTCAATTAACAAAGTTTGATTTTCTACCACTTGATTTCAAAGAAATTTTGTTGAGCTAAACTATCTCAGGCATATCATCAGGTGTGACAGTTTAATCTGAATAACTCAATAAGCACTGTTTTTTATTATGATAGCATTCCTTAGTATGATGTATCCAAATTAATCTGTTGATTTTATCCGTTGTATGTTTTGTTAACGGTCTACTTTTGTTTTGTTAATGGTTTATTTAGTTAAAACTGTCGCACACTGTATGTCTTGGTACGTTTATTCCGTTTGTACAACTCGGAACAAAACCTCAGAAGCATGAAATCCTAATTGAGGGAAGAAGCGGTACTCGCCCTCGTGTGAAGTAAGCTTTTTTTTAAATGTTGCGGTGGTTGAAACCCGAGTTGTTCCAAATCATAGAAGTGGCTCATATTAACTCCCCAGTTAACCAATCGTGCTCACAGATTTAGTCAAATAACCATAATTGGCTGTTCAGGAGGTAGTATATCAGTGTTAGCTGCAACATTTCATTTTTAATTATTATTTTTTTCAATTCCAAAAATTATGTTTTCTCTATAGCTTTAATTACAGTTTTCGTTTCCATTTGTTTTCCTTATGCATCGCGCAGCATTGAGTGTTCCTGAAGCCATAAAACAGTTTTCTGAGTCAGCCAGCGCGAAGGCCTAATCCGGAGTTCAATCGCTGAAGGTTCAAATAGACCACAATGAGTCACGATTAGCATAGTGAGCTATGGCTAAATTGCAAGCCCTCTCTTTTAAAAGAGCAGCACATGTGCGATTGGAACTCGTAATCATATGATTGCTAGGCACCATCAATACCGGATACGCCGCAAGTCTTTTGAAGTTAACAATTTTCTTCATTACTTTTCAAATTTTAAAAAAAATCGCAGGTCAAGTTTTATCCTATAGCTTTGAGATTTGCCGAGGTTTTAGAATGAAAACTTGGTTGTTTGAACAATAAGTAAATTGTTTTAGAGTTGAATAATTTGTTACTTGAATCACTTTATTGCTTGGTTTCGAATAAATACTTGGAATAGGAAGTTTATCCTGAAAGAACATGAGTTTAAGTTGTATAAAGGTTATCTAGCAAACAATATAGATATCAGAAGAGAATGAACACGCTCTGCGTGGTTTTATGTATAGATTAGCACAATGACCTCGGTTAGTTTAATTAACATCAATCTGCAGTGAGACTGCAAAAGAACAAGTAAATAACGAGGTACCGAAGGTCGCCTCACGACATTCCCCGCGGCAGAAAAAATTTGAGAAACAACCCAAAATTAGAGAGATAATAAAAACTGCACCCAAACGAGCAAATGATTGATAGCCCCCCCCCCTATCCCACACAACTGCTGTACAGTTAATCAGAAAGAACATGATAACATGAAGGAGTTTGAATGAGTTTAGTAGAGTTTTAAACTTGACAGATAGTCAATCCTTTCCAGTAACATCTTTTGCATGAGCGAGAGGGGGAGACGTCGTCGTTGAAGGTCCAGGTGGAAAACGATCCCGAATGAGGGGTTTTCGTGGTGAGGACGAAGATACTATAACCGTTTCAGAGGGCAAAGTTGGGTCCTCCTCAACTGACTTGACAGAACGCCGCAACGGATCGCCAAAAAACTGAGTGGGCTTCTTACTACGATGTGACGTCCGGACTGACTCAGCGTCGTCAACCACTGGTTGAGCAGGTAGAGAAAGCGAAGGGTAGGAGGAGGGCAGCTCTGATGACGCTGAATGAGAGGGAAGAACCAGACCCTGTGGCGACACCAAGTCCGGCGAAGAGATAATAATTCCAGTACGAGTAGGATTAACACCAGGAAAATCAGCAAGGTGAACGGTCGAAGAAGAGGCAGCACAATGTGAAGTCCGCGGTTGAGGCGATGTTAACAAACTTTCAAGTTGTGCGGTAGAGTCGGTCGGTAACGAGCAGGTAGCGCTCGTTGAAGTGTGGAGCTGCGATGTAGAGTTAGACTGAGGAGCAAACCTGACCGGAGGTGAGTCACACTGAAGCCTCTGGCGTTTTCCGATAGGAGAAGAACCATTAATCACTTGAAGACCACCGTTAGATCCAACTGAGTTTTCGCTGGAAGAGTCAACTGTGAGGTCCGCCATCGGAGTAGCGAGAGTAGGGTTGTTTGGCCGTTGTTCTAGTGGCACAGGCTGAAACCGTGTAGCAGGCCCTTTAACTGCACCCCGAGAGGTAGAATTCGAAGATTGGAGGCGATCACCTAGAGTGTTGGGAGCAACTGAAACGGTAGACCGATAATTAGGTTTGAGGCAGATGTGATTTTTCCGGTAAACTTTCCCAGTGTCGGTAACATAAGTATGATCCGTAACACAAACAATCTTAAATTTAGTCAGTTTATAAAGAGGTTTCCCCGATTGACGATCAATAATTTTCCTAAAGACTTTAACTCGACTAGGATCAGACATTAGAAGATTTTCTAATTTACTTGTTTTCGATAGGCGACGGGGTTGCACAGCTGGTGCACGCCTGGAGCTAACTTGTGCCCCCGGAGGTGTTACTATTGCCGGGAAGCGTAGAGTGTTGTGATTGAGTCCTGATTTGAGGGAATGCGCGAGGTCCGAATGCCGGGTTGCGAGCTCCTTGAGGACCTTTTTCCCCCATCCGGTGGAAGATTGCGTTTGAATTGCGACCATTTACTCGCCGCCCGAGCGAGTTCCGCCAACGCCTTGTAGGATTCACTATCTGCCACATTTCCGTCCACCGAGAACAAAGGTTTGAAGCGGGGAGGAACTGTTGGACTAGTGCTGCCGCGAGGAACAACTTTTGCCCTGTCTCTGCTGTAATCCTGGCTGGCAATCTGGTCTGGCGTAAGGAGGTTGCGCTCCAGTCCTTGGGCTGAACTATCAGATTTAACAACATTATTACGCGCCTGAGACCAAAATGCAATTCAAAAGGTGATTTCTTAAGCACCGAATGATTACTCTTGCGAATATCCTAAAGTATTTGTTGAATCGTTTCCTTAAAGTTTTTGAAATTAGGATCGAGTTTTGCAACACCCAGTTTTCTCTTGATTGTCTGAATCGTTCGTTCAACCAAACCACTGCCTCTATGATCTCCGACCGGCGAGAGGACATGTTTAATACCTCTGCAAGAGCAAAACTCTTGCACCAAGTTATTTTTGAAACCTGAACCGTGATCCCTTCTGATAGGGTGAGGTAGACCATGGATACGAATGTTAGAATCAAGGAATTTAGTAACCTTCTTAGCCCCAGTACTTTTAGAAATAAGAACCGAAGGAAACTTAGAGAACCGATCGATTGCTACTAAAAGAAAGATCTTAGACCCCCTTATCATCAAGTATAGGACCAGCAAAATCTAGTTGTAATTCCTGATTAGGTCCAGACAGAGCAGGCAAAGGTTGCGCAGTATTAAAAGTTGACGCGGGCTTAAGATTCTTACAAAACAAGGTGCATTCACGGCATTTCTCGCACGTATCAATGATCTGGCGGTTCATGAACGGCCACCACGGGTATTCAGAGGCCGCCATCATGGCCTCTTGTCCCGGGTGAGATCGGTGAAGACGAGTGAGCACGGCTTGTCGAAGAGGTTCGGGTATGGCCAATTTATTTTCGATAACTACACAGTTAGTAACCACAGCTGCGTTAGGCCAGAATTGGGCCATATATGAACCAAGCTTGTTGAAAGATGTGATGTCCTTGTTTATGATAGCTCGCTTCATAGGGCCAAGAAAACGATCCTCCTCTGTTAATTCCGCCAAAAGGTCTGCATCGAAGAGGCCAGGCAGTCCCACGATTTCCTTCTTTGACGAGGAAAGAAGAGGTTTGCCCCCATTGACAGCGAAATTTTCAATCTTTGCAGCCGTATTAACTTTTCCTGGCTTCGATAGGCGACACCGCCTCCAATAGATGGGTGTGACCATCTTTTCGAATTGTAATCCTGGTGGCAACAAAACGGGTTTTAGCAGCCCGTTCACGGGTACGGTTTCGTTGGCGTATTTGATCCAATCGAGAGATGCGGTTCAGTTGACGAGATCGTATTGTTGGCTTTGGACTGGATCGGCGAAAGTTCGAAGATCTTATCGGAAAAGACTCCACGAATGTCAGTAAATCGGCCTGCTCGGCAGTTGAGTTAAGTATAGTTTGAGGGTCAGGTTGAGTGATAGTAGCATTCAAGTCGATAATAGTGGGTCCGGTAATAGTTTGTTTAGCGCCAGGTGGTTGTGTTAATTTGATCCTGCTGGCTTCGCCATGAGAATTGCCGAGGTTTTAGAATGAAAACTTGGTTGTTTGAACAAGAAGTAAATTGTTTTAGAGTTGAATAATTTGTTACTTGAATCACTGTATTGCTTGGTTTCGAATAAATACTTGGAATAGGAAGTTTAACCTGAATGAACATGAGTTTAAGTTGAATAAAAGTTATCTAGCAAACAATATAGATATCGAAAGAGAATGAACACGCTCTGCGTGGTATTATGTATAGATTAGCACAATGACCTCGGTTAATATAATTAACATCAATCTGCAGTGAGACTGCAAAAAAACAAGTAAATAACGAGGTACCGAAGGTCGCTTCACGACAAGCTTGCAAATATTGATAAAGAGTTTTATTTTCTACTTGACTTCAGTTACCTAAAAAAATGTCCGAAGATCGAGTGTGATATCCTATTAGAACTTGCATTTTTGATTGGGATTCGAAAAAAATCATTAAAAGGCCAGCCGTGTATTTGTGAATTGTAGCGGACTCCACAGCAGGCTGAAAATGCTTTAACGTGGAGTCCTTGATCTTTTTGCTGTTGTGAATCCACATACAATTGGTAATTATTTTTTCATTGCTCCAAAATGCTCCAAAAAGTAAAATCTTTGTAAAATTGGGAACAAATTTTGCGAAATCGAGAAAAGTTTTGTGTAAATTTTAGTAAGCGTTCATTGCTGGTTGAATGCTTAGTAATAGATCTTAAGTTATAAGTCTCTCTGTAATTCTTCAAATTTCTTGACAACAGTTATAGTTTAAAAATTTAGTTAGAAAAAAGTATGAATTGATGTGATGGATAGTTATATATAATTGATTCAATCAATTATTGAACAACTGTCTTTAGTACCAATAGGGATGGAGTCAA